GCAAAGGTTGGCCAAACCTCTGATGCTAGACGACCGTGTTTCCCCAGACGGGTCCCCCACCGGCTGATCGTCGAACTCTTCGTCGTCTGAGCGTCCCTTCTTCGTCTCGGCCGCCGCCGCCCCCCCCCCTTTGCTCGCCGGCCAATTCGCTAGTTTGTACCCCTATCTAGCTAATCGCTGGAGCGGAGTTCGCCGTCTCGCCGCTGACGAAAATTACCCTGTGACGTACCCGACCCATTTGTATCAATGGAGACGAGGAGTTGGCCGAAACTTGTATGGACAATCAACTTGATGTGTAAGCTACTTGGGAGGCGTCACTGTGCTGGGCCCCGCAAGCAGGCCTCGAAAGTGGCGACAGTTTCACAGATCGCAGCCCCCCAGGGATGGCGAGGTCCAATTTGAATCCGCCGTGTGTACCCACTGTGCTGGGCCCCCCAGCAGGCCGCGAAAGTGGCGACAGTTTCACAGATCGCAGCCCCCCAGGGATGGCGAGGTCCCATTTGAGTCCGCCGTGTGTACCCACTGTGCTGGGCCCCCCAGCAGCCCTCGAAAGTGGCGACAGTTTCGCAGATCGCAGCCCCCCAGGGATGGCGAGGTCCCATTTGAGTCCGCCATGGGTACCCACTGTGCTGGGCCCCACAGCAGGCCGCGAAAGTGGCGATAGTTTCACAGATCGCAGCCACCCAGGGATGGCGAGGTCCCATTTGCGTCCGCCGTGGGTACCCACTGTGCTGGGCCCCCCAGCAGGCCTCGAAAGTGACGACGCTTTCACAGATCGCAGCCCCCCAGGGATGGCGAGGTCCAATTTGAATCCGCCGTGTGTACCCACTGTGCTGGGCCCCCCAGCAGGCCTCGACAGTGGCGACAGTTTCACAGATCGCAGCCCCCCAAGGATGGCGGGGTCCCATTCGAGTCCGCCGTGGGTACCCACTGCGGTGGGCCCCCCAGCAGGCCTCGAAAGTGGCGACAGTTTCACAGATCGCAGCCCCCCAGGGATGGCGAGGTTCCCTTTGAGTCCGCCGTGGGTACCCACTGTGCTGGGCCCCCCAGCAGACCTCGAAAGTGGCGACAGCTTCACAGATCGCACCCCCCCGAGGATGGCGAGGTCCAATTTGAATTCGCCGTGTGTACCCACTGTGCTGGGCCCCCCCGCAGACCTCGAAAGTGGCGACAGTTTCACAGATCGCACCCCCCCAGGGATGGCGAGGTCAAATTTGAGTCCGCCGTGGGTACCCACTGTGCTGGGCCCCCCAGCAGCCCTCGAAAGTGGCGACAGTTTCACAGATCGCAGCCCCCCAGGGATGGCGAGGTCCAATTTGAATCCGCCGTGTGTACCCACTGTGCTGGGCCCCCAGCAGGCCTCGAAAGTGGCGACAGTTTCACAGATCGCAGCCCCCAGGGATGGCGAGGTCTAGTTTGAATCCGCGTGTGTACCCACTGTGCTGGGCCCCCCAGCAGGCCTCGAAAGTGGCGACAGTTTCACAGATCGCAGCCCCCCAGGGATGGCGAGGTCCAATTTGAATCCGCCGTGTGTACCCACTGTGCTGGGCCCCCCAGCAGGCCTCGAAGGTGGCGACAGTTTCACAGATCGCAACCCCCCCAGGGATGGCGAGGTCCCATTTGGGTCCGCCGTGTGTACCCACTGTGCTGGGCCCCCCAGCAGGCCTCGAAAGTGGCGACAGTTTCACAGATCCCAGCCCCCCAGGGATGGCGAGGTCTAATTTGGGTCCGCGCGTGGCGTCACTGTGCTGGGCCCCCCAGCAGGCCTCGAAAGTGGCGACAGTTTCACAGATCGCAGCCCCCCAGGGATGGCGAGGTCTAATTTGGGTCCGCCGCGGGTGCAGACTGCGCTGGGCCCCCCAGCAGCCCTCGACAGTGGCAACAGTTTTCGACTGTTCGAACCCCCTCAGGTATTGCGATGTCTAGGTACAATTTTAGTCCGCCGTGTGTAAAGCCACGTGCTGGGCCCCCCAGCAGGCCTCGAAAGTGGCGACAGTTTCACAGATCGCAGCCCCCCAGGGATGGCGAGGTCAATTTCAATCCGCCGTGTGTACCCACTGTGCTGGGCCCCCCAGCAGGCCTCGAAAGTGGCGACAGTTTCACAGATCGCAGCCCCCCAGGGATGGCGAGGTCAAAGGCAGGGGGGAAGAGAGGGACGGGAGGGGGCGGGAAGGTTCGCGCGAGCAGTGCTCTATTCAAAACGAGAACCCAACGCAGGAGGGTTGGGAAAACAGTTTCCCAGACGGGTTCCGATGGCCACTCACCCCCGTGGAGCGTGGGTGGCCCGGCGAAGAGTGCGTTTCTGACGGGCACGGGGGCTTTCGCGGCACTGTCGGCCTCTGCAAAGATGCCTTTGTGAAATGTGTTGCCCGGCACCCGGACCTGTCCGCTGTTTCTTGCCTGCGTTTCAAGCGTCGACTGCCCAGCATAGTCCGGCTTTTGCCCCGGCATGGTCCGCGGAATCGTACCTGGGTTCGTGCATGTGTGTCGGTTGACTTCGTCGTCATTGCAACTATTGCGCCCTGACTGGTGTGATTGGCCGCTGATGTCATGAAAGTCTTCCCCAAAAACGAATCCATCCTCGGTCATGCAGCAGCGCGGGCGTGCGACAATGATGACGAAGAGGGGGAGGGGGAGGAGGAGGAGGAGGAGGAGGAGGAGGAGGAGGAGGAGGAGGAGGAGGAGCAGGAGGAGGAGGAGGACGCACTTGGACACCCGAGATGGGCGCGGGAAAAGGGGCACGATACCCGACAGCGAATGTTGTGCTGACCAAGACAGGCAGAAACCCCATCGGGCAGGCGACCCATTGCCTCGAAGCGGAGAAAGGCGGGCGGGGAAGGCAGCCTGATGCCTCAAGTGGAGAACGCCTTCGCGGCGACACCGACAGCGAGCCCTGCCTGAGATGCACAGGAGCTGCTGCCGAGCTTCCTCCTCCCCCTCCTCCTCCTCTCTTTCTGCTTCTTCCTCCTCGCTCTACCGGCCTCCTCCACCCTTCTCCCTCCTCCCCCTCCTCCTCCTACCCCCCCCTCCCACCTCCTCCTCCTCCCCCTCACTATCCTCCTCCTCCTCGTCCCTCCGCCTCCTCCTCCTCCTCCTCTCTCCTCCTCACCTCCCCCTTCCTCCTCCCCTCCCCTCCGCCTCCGCCTCCTGCCGCCTCCCTCCTCCTCGCGCCTCCTGCCCCCTCCCCCTCCTCTCCTCTCCTCTCCTCGCGCCTCCTGCCCTCCTCTCTTCCCTCCTCCCTCCCCTCCGCCTCCGCCTCCTCGTCCTCGTCCTCCCCTCGTCGTCCTCCTCCTCCTCCTCCTCCTCCGCCTCCGCCTCCTCCTCCTCCGCCTCCGCCTCCGCCTCCGCCTCCTCCTCCGCCTCCTCCGGAGGGGAGCGGCAGCGGCAGGAAGCAAGGGAGGAATCGGGGTCGGAGGCCGAGCGTGCCCCCCAAAAGCGAAGCCAGCCTCGGTCATGCAGCAGCGCGGGCGTGCGACCATGGTGACGAAGAGGAGGAGGGGGAGGAGGAGGAGGAGGAGGAGGGGGAGGAGGAGGAGGAGGAGGAGGAGGAGGAGGAGGAGGAGGAGGGGGAGGAGGAGGAGGAGGAGGAGGCGGAGGAGGAGGGGGAGGAGGAGGCGGAGGGGGAGGGGGGGAGGAGGAGGAGGGGGAGGAGGAGGAGTACGACGACGACGACGACGACGAGGACGATAGAGAAAATGAACGGCGGCACCCGCCGTCACGCCTGATATTGGATATAAGCACGCACGCACACAACAAAACGGGGGGCTGAGAAACACGATTAGCGTGTTTGGAGGAAGGGCGTGGGGAGATGCAGTGCACGATCGTGCAGTAAGTGCCCCCAACGTTCGCAGCAATCTTGCTGATATGACCACTTCTCCCAACCCCATCATCCCAACCAGATAATTTTAGGTCAGGCATGTCGTCCTACGAGCGGGTTTTTGGCGAAACCTAACCAAGCATCAAACTATTCAAACATAATCCGACAATCATCCCAATCTCATTCTTTTGACGGTTTTGAATATTCCTCCTGTAAAGGGACATGCCCGACTTCACGATAGTTTACTTTCTTGGGGACGAGCGACGAGCGACAGCAGCAGCAGCAGCAGCAGCGGGGGCGGCCTCGGCTGCAGGACGGGACGGCCCTTCGCAGCGGGAGCAGGCCGGCTGGGACGAGGAGGGCGCAGGCGGCATGGGGGCAGGGCGCCAGGGGCGAAGGGAGGAAGGCGGAGGAGGACAGCAGGAGGAGGAGGACGACAGCAGGAGAAGGAGGAGGAGGAGGAGAGGAAAAAAGGTGGAGGAGGCCGGTAGGACGAGGAGGAGGAAGAAAAGGAGAAGGAGGAGGAGGAGGAGGAGGAGGAGGAGGAGGAGGAGGAGGAGGAGTAAGAGAAGAAAGAAATGGAGGAGGCCGTAGACCGAGGAAGAAGAAAGGAGGAGGAGGAGGAGGAGGAGGAGGAGGAGGAGGAGGAGGAGGAGAAGGACTGTCTGTCTGTCTTCCCCAGAAGAGCACCACATTGCTTGCTGTGGGCGACGGCTCTTGTCACCTGAAGGACGACAAGGACGAAGAGGAGGAGACGGAGGAGAAGACGGAGGAGGAGGAGGAGGAGGAGGAGGAGGAGAAGAAGGAGGAGGAGCGGGGGCGGGAGCAGGCCGTGGGGGAATGTCGGAGGACGACGGCGGGCCGCAGCGGGAAGTCCGAAGCGCCCGTCGGCGAGCCGCCGCGGCCGAGAGGCAGCGGCTGCGGCGGCGGCGGCGAAGGCGACGGTGACGGCGACTACGTCGACGAAGGAGGCCTGCGGAGACCCACAACAAAGGCCCGAGCGCGACAGAGAGTACCCCAAGAGTATCGACGCCCCCTCTCTGCAAGGAACGCGTGCTGCCGAGGGCCATAAGTTTCGCCGACACCTGAAATTCCCTGGGGCCTCCCAGTGACACCACACGGGCCTCCAGGGGCCATCGGCCCTCCTCGACAACGGCGGCAGCGACGGCGCCGGCGGGCGGGCCTGAAGAGCGGCGGGGGCGCCGACGACGACGACGCGGCCTCGGCGCGGGGGGGGTGGAGGGACGCGTTCCCTGCAGAAGGCATCATCGCCAGTTTGGTCGCCATGGTCGTTGTGATCGTCGTCGTCATCGTCGTTGTCGTCACCACCGCCGCTGCTGTCATCGTCGCCGCGGCCACCACCGAGGCACCATCATCGTCGCCACCGCCGTCGCCATCGGTGTCGTCGCATCACCCTCGTACTGGGATGCCTGTGTAGGTTTGGGCCTGCCTGGCAGCCCGCGCCAGAACTCGGTGTCGGTGGCGGCAGAAGAGAGGCGCCACCACCGCCAGCCTACCCGTCTGAACAGCCACACCCCCGCGACGGTTCAATCGTAAGCGCTGGGAAAATGGCCGCCGTCCTGGGGGCGGGGCTGGCCGCAGCACGTGACTTCCAGCGGCTGGTGCGTGATGCTCTGCGCTCTACTGTGCCAAGGCGTCTGCGTGCTGGAATGATCTTCGGTCGCTGTTGTTGCGCAAGTTCCGCGCAGCAGCAGCTGACGCCGTGCGCCACTGCCCAGAGAGGAAATATTGGAACGAAAGCTGTAACGAAAGGATCGGGATGAAATGTGGCACTTTTCAATACGCGGAACGAGGGGGGTTGTAGAAGGCGCGGGAAAAAAGGCATGCGCGGGCAAGGGTCCCTAAAATGGCGGCGGCGTAACACCCCTTCCTGACCTCCCGTTCGAGTCGGGTGCTCAAACGAGTCTGTAGTACGCTAGTGGCATTCCACGTGCGAGCCACCAGGAACACCCCCGAAACACAACATAACGGTTGTACTACACAGTTCCAGCAGAGGCGCAGAGCAGGGAGTTTTGATGACCAGCCCCCATTCATAAAACTAGCGCCAGTAGACGATTAGAGAAATAACGCCTCAATGTGCACCTCCACTCTATCAACATAGCTGCCGGAGGTGACCGCACTCACTTAGCATGCTCAACCATCGCAACGTCTACTGCTCCACCAACATAGTTAGCGGAAGCAACAAGTCTCTCAATTGCATGCTTCACCATTCTTGGCTGGTCGCCAGAACAGCCGGTCATAAGTTAGCTCGGCGGCTCGCCGCGACAGCCTGCCCACCTGTTAGGCCGGTCGTTCGCCAAGGCCGCGCGCCGCCTGTTTCGCCGAGACACAATAATGCATGCATCGGACGTCGCATTCGCGAACAGAGCCAGTGGAATGCGAGCGTCACGTGATTCAATCATTCGGGTCGCCCTTCTTTCTGATGGTGATATCACTGCGTTGCGAGTTTGTTACGGTATTGTTGTGCTTCTCCTCGCTCAGCTTGATCGCGGTGCGGTCGTAGCTGAACTGGCCGCCCAACATGTTTCGGATGATATATCATATCGGCAGATGTCTACCTTCGTCGTGGGGTCGGCTCTCATGTTTCTGTTATCGCACAAAAGGACGTCGGCCATCTGCTTCGTGCGAAGCTGATCTGGCAACCGCCAGAAATGTCCGGCCATACTGTTTTCCGACGGGTGCCGAACACGATCCACGGCAAGAGCCGAGAAGACGGACGTAACGTTGACGACCTCCTCGGCCAGCATTGTATAGCCCCCTTCCTCCCTGACTCCTGATCTCCTCGGCTGAGGCTCGTCCGCGTACAAAATGGAGCGTCAGGAGGTGCGCTGGCAGGCCGTAAGCTACATCGCAGGCTGCGAGCAGTCCCGAGCCAAATTTTGATCGGCACACCAGCTTGTGCGATCGGCTCACGGCGTCGAGCAAGTGGCGTACACGTTCGCCAAATACTGCGCCACTTGCCCAGACGCATGTATACTGCCCACGTCATGCCGTAACCAATCCCCCTCCCCCGCCTGAACGACCCGTCGCTGCGCGCGCAGAGTCGCCTGGCGCACTCCGTAGCAGGAAAGGAAATGCGCGCATTGATTTTCTGCATGGCCAGAATGCCTGGATTTGAGCTGCATCGCGCGCCGGATGAGCAGCTTCTTCTTGGCCCTCTGCAGAGCGACGACGTATGCGGCAACGTCGCGTCGCGCAAGCAGAGCGCATGCTGCCGCTCCGAAGAGGGAGACGAAAAGGTCTGGAAGCTGACTCCCTGCCGGCTCGTCGGTCTTCGCCTTGACCAGGTCGACTTGATCGATAGTGATCAAGACGTCGACGTACTAGTCCTGGTCGAGCGCTCCTGTTCCGTCGGCGCTGCGGTGCGGGCGCGCCCCGCATTTGATGAAGTCGTCGTCGTCGTAGTCTCCCTCGTTTTGCCAGAGACGCTCTCGATATGGCCGGTCAGCTGATCAATGTGCTCCTCGCGCCTCGCGATCCTCAGATGGTCAACGCGCATGGACAGCATGAGCACTAGCTGCGAGCCGATGGCACCATTGGCCGGCTGCCCGCGTCCTGAACTGCCCCCCGTGGGTACGCCCCGCCGCGCAACCGAGGGACCGCACCCGCCCCAAGGGGGGTACCCTGAGAGTCGGGCCAAAGAAAATTGCAAATGACGGGCCGCAGAGGCAGAGGCAGGAAGGGACCCAAAGGAGCCCTAGAAAAGGGCGCGCGTCCTTACCATGCGCGTTGGCTGTAAGGCAGTGTGTCTAATGCGCGTGTGGCGGGCGAGGAAATGGATCCCTAAAGTGGCGGCGGAACATCCCAGCTGCACCCAGCAAAGCATAGGATACCTCCCGTTCGAGACCTGTGACTCCGCGCGCGCGTGCGTAGTGGGTGGTGGTGCGCGTGCGTGCGTGCGTGTGTGCGTGGTTGTGGTTGTGGTGGTGGTGGCGGTGGTGGTGGTGGTGGTGGTGGTGGTGGTGGTGGTGGTGGTGTGTGTGGCTGTGTGTGCGCGTGTGCTGTAGTGTGACGTGGTGTGGCGTCTTGGTGGTTTGGAGGTGGGCCAGGTGCGTGCGTGCGTGATGGCGGTGGTGGTGGTGGCGGTGGTGGTGGTGGTGGTGTGTGTGCGTGTGTGTATATGTGTGTGTGTGTGTGGGTGCGTGCGTGCGTGCGTGCGTGCGTGCGTGTCTGTGTGCGCGCGCGTGTGATATGGTGTGACGCGGTGTAGCGTGGTGGTTGTGGGTGGGGTAGTGGGGTGGTGGTGGCGGTGCGCGATGGTGGTGCGCGTGCGTGCGTGCGTGCGTGCGTTGGTGGGTGGAAGTGGCGGTGGGCGGGGCGGGGCGCGGTGCGGTGGTGGCGGGCGGATGGGCGCGCGAGAAAGAGGCCCGCGCTGGGGCGAGAACGCCATCCTGAACGACGGAGAGGCAAAACACCGATCCGAAAATGAGGCCCACGCTGTAGCGGGAGCACGATTCGGAACGAGCGGAAGCCCGAAAATGAGGCCGGCGCCTCAGCGAGAGCATTTTGAACAAAAAACCAGCGAAAACCCAACTCCACAGTACGCGGAGGGGTGCCCGCTATCTTCCACACGCCATCAGGGGATGGAGGAGAGTGTATTCATATTGAGTAGTTGTGGAAGAAGAGGATGAAAAAGGAAGAGGAGGAAACGGAAACCCAGGGGGGAGGAGGGATGACTCATGAGGGAGGAGGACCGGAAAACGAAGGAACCACTCCGACATGATTAGACACCACATCGACCATTTTTCAATACGCTGTCGGGAACATCCCAAAAACGAAAAGAACCGCCGACGCCGAGGACAACCGACGACGCCGACGACGACGACGACGATGACGACGACGACGACGAGGACAGCAACGGCGGTGGCGGCTACCGACGACGTCCTCCGCTTCTTGATGTCTACAGATGCCCCCAGAGGTCTGTGGAAACCCACAGAGGCCTCCAGAAACATCCAGAAGGCCCTGGAGGCCCCAAGACATGTCCAAGTATTGACCCTCCTGCCTCGGACCTCCTCGACGACGACGACCATCGCCACGTCACTGACGACGACGACGAAGGCGACAACAACGACGACAACGACGACCAAGACGACGACGGCGACGACGGCCACGACGACGACGATTACAGCGGCGACGACGACGACGGCCACGACGACGACGACGACGGCGGCGACGACGGTGACGGCGACGTCTGCTGCGACGACGACGACGGTGGCGAAGCCGACGACGACGGCAAAGACAGCGACAGCGACAGCCACGCCCACCGCGTCGACGCCGCTGACCACGACGACGACGAAGACGACGACGGCAGCTGCGGCGGAAGCGACAGCAGTGGCGGAGACGGCGCCCACTCGACCATCGGCAGCCTCGCGGCCGCCGACCTCTGCGCCGCCGCACGCCGCGGGGGCCATCCGTGAGGCCACCTCTGGTCGACGGCGGCGTCAGCAGCGTCGTCGTGGCTGCCGCCGCCACCGCCGTCGGCAGGCCGACGTCGGCGCCGTCCACGGCAGGTCGAGGACATCGCCGCCGCAGACGTCGTCAGTCGCCGCCGCCGCCGCCAGTCGTCACCGCCACCGCCGTCGTCGTCGTCGTCGTCGTCGTCGTCGTCGTCGTCGTCGTCGTCACAGTCGTCGCCGTCACCGTCGCCGTCGTCGTCGGTTATACTCGTCGTTGTCGTATCCGCCGCCGCTGGCGTCGCCGTCACCGTCGCTGTCATCGGATGGGGTTCCGGATGTGTGTTCTGGACCACTTTCGGACTCTGGAGGCCTCTGGAGGTTTCCAGAAACTTCTGGAGATTTCTGAAGGCGAGGAGAACGGGACAAGGGGGAGGAGAAGGAGGAGGAGGAGGAGGAGGAAGAGGAGGCGGAGGAGGACGAGGAGAGGAGGAGGAAGCGGAGGAGGAGGGGGAGGAGGACGGGGAGGACGGGGAGGAGGAGGAGGAGCGAAGGAGGAGGAGGAGGAGGAGGAGGAGGAGGACGACGAGAAGGGGGCGGAGGAGGAGGAGGAGAAGAGGAAGCAGGAAAGCCATGGGGCCCGCCGGGTGCGAGGAGCGAAGGAGGGCGGGGGGCGCAGCAGGGAGGGAGCCAACCACGGCCTCCCGCCGCGCCTCTCGGCCACCGCCGCCCAAGAGCGGTCCCCGGGACCCGCTGCTGGGCACGTCGGCGCCGTCGTCGTCGCCGTCGTCGTCGTCGTCGTCGTCTTCGTCGTCGTCATTGTCATCTCCTGGGCGTCATCCCGACCAATTCCCGCGCCACGTCGGGCCGTGGCTTGTAACCGGCTGATGGGGGGCGAGATGGTCCTTCCTGCGAAGTAATGAAAGTTCGGGTTTGGGTTCGAGCAGAAGGAAGATCAACAACTCAAGTTCGACCCCCCAACCCAGAGTTCAAAATAAGTTCAAGACGCCCCCGGGCACAACGACAACTATTCCAGACTGCACCCGGACTTTTCAGAAAGGTCTGAACCTTTTTTGAAACCTTCGGAATTGGACTGACTTGTTTGAACTTTCTTTGGGCCGTTGAACGTTTTGTTCGAACTTTGCTTGGACTTGCTTTGGTGTTTGAACTTTTTATATTTCTTCCTCGCCGCCGTGCGTCCTCTGAACTTTGTCCGAGCTCTGCTGCTCGCCGCCGAACTGTTTCCGAACGTGTTTCTGTGTTTCTCGCCGCCGAACTTGTCCTAACTGTTTCCGAACTTCCGGATTCCAGCCACGCTGAACCTGATCGCTGCAAGCCAAACAAAAAAAAACCTGGCCTCATCCGCTTCCCGACCTTCGGGCAGAGGACCGTTCGCGCCCCCTCGGCCTGTTGCAAGCAGTGGCCACGAAGGTCCCCCCCAGGACAGGAGGAGGAGGAGGAGAGGAGGCAAGGAGAAAGGAATTGGAGAGGAAAATTAGAAGGAAAGAGGGGAGGAGGAGGAGGAGGAGGGAGGAGGGGAGGAGGAGGGAGGAGGGAAGAGGAGGGGAGGAGAGGAGGGAGGGAGGAGGAGGCGAGGAGGAGGAGGTGGAGGAGGGAGGAGGGAGGATGAGCGAGGAGGGAGGAGGAGGGAGGAGGCGGAGGAGGAGGAGGAGGAGGAGGAGGAGGAGGAGAAGGAGGGAGGAGGGGGGAGAGGAGGCGAGGAGGGAAGGAGGAGGAGGGAGGAGCGGAGGGAGGAGGAGGGGGGAGGGAGGAGGAGGAGGAGGAGGAGGAGGAGAAGGAGGAGAAGGAGCAGGAAGAGGACAAGGAGCAGGACGGGCGGCAGCCGCTCCGAGCCGCTCCGGGTTCCCCGTGGGGCGCCGGGCGCTCGGGGGGTCGAGGAGCCCGGGCCTCTGGCGGACCGCCCTGTGCCAGCACGCGGGCCCCAGAGCTGCCTCCCTCTCCTCCTTCCTCTCCTCCTCCTCCTCCTCCTCCTCCTGCTCCTCTCTCTCCTCCTCCTCCTACCTCCTCCGCCGCTCCTCCTCCTCCTCCTCCTCCTGCTCCGCCTCTCCTCCTCCTCCTCCTCCTCTTCTTCCTCCGCCTCCTCCTCCTCCTCCTCCTCCCCCTCCTTATCCTCCTCCCCCTCCTCCGCCTCCTCCCTCCCGCCCAGGAGCCCGTCCTTCCTCTTGGCTCCTTCTCGGGCCGTGGCGGGGGCCAGAAGCGGCCCCAGGAGCCGAACACTCCACCAAAAACCTCTCGCCCGAGGGTCGCCCAGACGTCTCCAAAGATCTCCAGGGGCCTTCGGACGGCCGAAATTATCCTCCAAGGACTTCGCGTTATTCTCTTCTTCCTCATCCTTCTACTACTGCTCCTCCTCCTCCTCCTCCTCCTCCTCCTCCTCCTCCTCCTTTTTCTTCCCTTCTTCCTCCTCATCCTCCTCCTTCTGCCTCTCCATCCTTTCTTGCCAGGAACACCACCGTGGTGAGTGACGCAAGTGGTACTGCGCCACCCAAAGGCCCCTTCGTCGCCCCGCCCAATCTCCCAAGGATTAGGGAGGAGGGAGGGAGGGAGGGAGGGAGGGGGGAGAAGGGAGGGGGGAGAAGGGAGGAAGAGGGAGGAATGGAGGAGGAGCGGGGGAGAAAGAAGATATGATATGAGGGAGAGGAATGAAGGAGGGAGGAGGGAGGGAGGGAAAGGGAGGGAGGAGGAGGGCCCCCCTGGCACGGCTCGACGACCACTGCGGAGGTCGGGATGGGGCGGGGTCGGGGTCACCATCAACGCAACGAATCTTGTGAACTTCGCCATCGAGCACTGCACATAACGACAGCACGGCTGCGCCACAGCGTGAGATGGAGGGGCGCGACTGACCGTCGTCGAACCGCACGCGTCCGCGTGCAGTTCTCTCTCGCTGAGCCCTCAAATTAGCCTGGCGAAGGACCCAACCATATGCAGTTGTGGGTATCGCATTCGGGGGAGCCCCGTATGGGGCCACGAAACGCTGTACTGGGTGGGGGGGACGCATGCGAACTGCGCCACTGGGACCTTCGGTGGAGCTCCCTATGGGGCCACGAAGCGCTGCCCTGGGTGGGGGGGAACGCATGCGAACTGCGCCACTGGGGCCTTCGGTGGAGCTCCCTATGGGGCCACGAAACGCAGCCCTGGGTGAGGGAACCGCATGCGGGCTGTGCCACTGGGAACTTCGGTGGAGCTCCCTATGGGGCTACGAGACGCTGCCCTGGGTGGGGTAACCGCATGCGGGCTGTGCCACTGGGACCTTCGGTGGAGCTCCCTATGGGGCCAGGGGGAACCGCATGCGGGCTGTGCCACTGGAACCTTCGGTGGAGCTCCCTATGGGGGTACGAAACGCTGCCCTGGGCGGGGGAACCGCATGCGGGCTGTGCCACTGGGACCTTCGGTGGAGCTCCCTATGGGGCCACGAACCGCTGCCCTGGGCGGTGGAACCGCATGCGGGCAGTGCCACTGTGACCTTCGGTGGAGCTCCCTATGGGGCCACGAACCGCTGCCCTGGGTGGGGGAACCGCATGCGGGCTGTGCCACTGGGACCTTCGGTGGAGCTCCCTATGGGGCCACGAAACGCTGCCCTGGGTGGGGCAACCGCATGCGGGCTGTGCCACTGGGACCTTCGGTGGAGCTCCCTATGGGGCTACGAAACGCTGCTCTGGGTGGGGGAACCGCATGCGGGCTGTGCCACTGGGACCTTCGGTGGAGCTCCCTATGGGGCTACGAAACGCTGCCCTGGGTGGGGGAACCCCATGCGGGCTGTGCCACTGGGAACTTCGGTGGAGCTCCCTATGGGGCTACGAAACGCTGCCCTGGGTGGGGGAACCGCATGCGGGCTGTGCCACTGGGACTTCGGTGGAGCTCCCTATGGGGCTACGAGACGCTGCCCTGGGTGGGGGAACCGCATGCGGGCTGTGCCACTGGGACCTTCGGTGGAGCTCCCTATGGGGCTACGACGCGTGTGAGGGGTGTGCCGAGTGCAGAGGCAAGGAGGGGGAGGAGGGAGGAGGGCGAGGAGCGGGAGGAGGAGGAGAGGAGGTGGGACGCGGGGCGCTGTCTCTTCAAACCGAGGACCCAACACTACAGGATGGGTGGGAAAAAAACAAGAGCAGGTGAGAGAAATGGATAGGAGCGGATAGAAAAGCCATTGCTCGTGGGTGCGGAGGTCAGTCGAGAGCGGCGCGCGCACTAGGGTCCCGCACGAACAGCGTAAGGATGCGATGGGAGGCGGAGGGGAGGGAACGAGGCGACAGGAGGGGGATCTCGACTACAGTGCAGTTCACGACAAGACAGGCACTACATCACACCTGAAATTCCCCCTGCGAGGCAACACCGTGCCGCGCCTCCTCCTCCTCCCCCTCCTGCACCTCCTCCCCCTCCTCCTCCTCCTCCTCCTCCTCCTCCTCCTCCTCCTCCACCACCTCCTCCTCCCTCTCCTCCCCCTGCGAGGCAACATCGTGCCGCGCGTGGACCAACCCTGGGCGGCGGGGAGCAAGGCCGCCAGCGGCCACGCGGGAGCCCTGCTCCTCCTCCTTCCTCCTCCTCCTCCTACCTCCTCCTCCTCCTCCTCCTCCTCCACCTCCTCCTCCTCCCCCTCCTCCTCCTCCCTCCTCCTCCTCCTCCTCCTCCTCCTCCCCTCCTCCTCGCCCCTCCCCCTCCTCCTCCCCCTCCCCCATCCTCCTCCTCCTCCTCCTCCTCCTCCTCCTCCTCTCCTCCTCCTCCCCCTCCTCCTACCTGCCTCCTCCTCCTCCCCCTCCTCCTCCCTCTCCACCGCCTCCTCCTCCTCCTTCCTCCTCCTCTCCTCCTCCTCCTCCTCCTCCTCCTCCTCCTCCTCCCTTCCTCCTCCCTTCCTCCTCCCTTCTCACCCTTTTCCTCCCTACTCCTCTCGCTCCCCCCTTCCTCCCTCTCCTCCTCCTCCTCCTCCTCCTCCTCCTCCTCCTCCTCCTCCTCCTCCTCCTCCTCCTCCTCCTCCTCCTCCTCTCTCGCAAGCGAGTGGCAGCAGACCAGCCACCACTTCTAGACAAAGCCCTCAGCACACCCCCTCGGCGAGGCAGGAGGGAGCGAGGGAGGACCTCGGAGGAGGGAGGAGCGCGGGCAACGGGGCGCTCGCGCCGAGCGCACTGGGACAGGAGGGCGCTCCTCCTCCTCCTCCTCCTCCTCCTCCTCCTCCTCCTCCTCCTGCTCCTCTCGTCCTCCTCCTCCTCCTCCTCCTCCTCCTCCTCCTCCTCCTCCACCCCTCCCCCTCCTCCTCCTCCTCCTCCTCCTCCTCCTCCTCCTCCTCGCCCTGGCCGGCCGAGAGGCGGCAGCGCGACTCGGGGAAGGGAGGCGGGAGGGAGGGAGGAGGCAAGGATCGGGTCGGGCACGTCCTCCTGCAGGCGGAGTCTGGACGCAGAAGAAGTCCAAGCATGGTCGGAACCAGGCCCCCAAATCGTCAAAAGCATGGTCAGAGAAGCGCCCCCAGATTCTTCTCTCCCGATGTCTGGAGAATCCTCCTGTAGAGGGACGCGCCCGACTTCGGTCAAGGAGTCGGCTACGCGCAGGCGTGACCCTGGGTAAGAGTGACTTTTGGTGCGCGGCTTTTGGGAGGCCGCGGGGGGACCAAGCACAGGCGCGCAGGGCGTCACTATCGCATCGCCTTCGGCGATCGGGGGACCCCATGGGGCCCGCACCAAAGGCCACTCCAGCAAAAGGTCACTCTTTACGTGCAGTCGAAGGAGGGAGGAGGAGGAGGAGCAGGAGGAGGAGGAGGAGGAGGAGGAGGAGGAGGAGGAGGAGGAGGAACAGGTGGAGGGGGAGGAGGGGGCAGGGCATGGGAGGCATGGGGCAGGCCGTGCCGTAGAGGGAGGCATGGGGCGGGCCGTGCTGTAGAGGCCGGCGTGCACGGGCTGCGCGTCCAGCCTGCTCTGCCGCGCCTCGCGGGCGCCGCGGAGGCGCAGCAGGGCGCGCCCGCCCCGCGCCAGCAAGGCTGCGGCAGGGCGCCCCGGCCTCGGTGGGAAGGCGCAGCCCGGAACCCAGAGAGCCAAGGCGTTGAACAAAATCAAGACGGAGGTTTTTCGAGGAGGAGGAGGAGGAGGAGGAGGAGGAGGAGGAGGAGGAGGGGGAGGGCGGAGGGGTGTTGAGACCGCCCTGGACTACCCCAGAGATCCAAAGTAATGAAAAAAGGAAGACGGAGGTTTTCGCAAATTTTGGCCCCCAGGGTCCCTCGCCGGGCCTCGGGACCGTCAGAAAACGACGCAGGACGAAAAGCCGGTCCTGGGGAATGGGTCGAGACTTCCCGGGGCGCCGCAACGAAAAAAACACGACGTCGGATCTCCGGGAAAGTCGCCGAGGCGAAGCCCGAGAGCCAACCACGAAACCCGAAAATCGACAAGAGGCGAAGCCCGAAAGTCCCCCCAGAGGCAAAGACCGAGAATCCGACGAAACCCCTGCGTGCCCGAAACACCGAGAGGGGCAAAGTCCAACGCTCCAAGTCAGACCAGCCCCGCCTCGCCCCTTTTTGTTCGTCCTCCCGCCCCCATTTGTCCGTCCTGCGCCCTCCTCGTTCGTCCTCCATTTCTCCTCCTCGCTCCTCTCCGTCCTCCTCGTCCTCCTTCCGATCCTCTCACCTCTCCTCCCTCCTCCACCTGCTCCTCCTCCTCGTCCTCCACCCCCTCCCACGCTCCCTGCCCTCCTCTCTTCCCTCCCTCCCTCCTCCTCCTGCCTCTTGCCTCCTCTCCCTTCTTCTCCCTCCTCCCTCCCGCCACCGCCCTCCTCCCTCCCTCCTCTCTCCCTCCTCTCTCCTCCTTCTCCTCCTCCTCCTCCTCCTCTTCCTCCTCCTCCTCCTCCTCCTCGCTCGCAAGCGCCACGTGGCAACGCCGGGAGGGGAGAAACATATACTGGTCAACTCTCCTTGCCACGTGGCAGTGATCGGAGGGGAGAACAAGTACCACTTCACTGTTGTCCCCACGTGTCAGCGCCTGAGCACGTGGCAACGAAGCGGGCCCCGAACACATGCTACTCCACAAGACTCGCCGCATGTCAACGCCACGCGGCAAGGCCGAATAGGCGAACAAACATAACGTCCCACTCCAGTTGCCACGTGGCAATGACATGGGAAATGAACAATACTTATAGCGACACTCAACTCATCACGTGGCCATGCCGCGCGGGCCGAACATATACAATCCCACTCGAATCGCCACGTGGCAACGCCTGGGAGGCGAAAACAAATATTCCATTGCATTCGCCACGTGGCGGGAGCAGATACACCGCCACACCATTCGCAATGAGGCAAACACAGGCAAGCGAACAACATACAATACAACTCTGCGCACCCGTGGCAAAGCCACACAACGAGAAATAACTACCCTATTCCATTCGAAATGGCAACGCCGCGGAGGCGAACACGAACTTCTAATCGGCACGAGACAGCAACGCGGACGACGACGACGACGACGGCGACGACGGCGACGACGGCGACGACGACGACGACGGCGGCGGCGACGACAACAACGACGACAACTACGGCGGACGACGGACGACGACGGGCGACGGTGACAACGACGCCGCCGACGACGACGACGACGACGATAATGAAGAAGAAGACGACGACGACGCCGACGAGGGCAATGATGACGACGACGACGACGTCGACACCGAGGAAAACGACGATAATGACGACGACAATGACGACAACGACGACGACGACGACGGCCGCTCGCCCGCTCACCAGCCCGCCCGCCCGCCAGCCCGCCCGCCCAACCGCCCGCCCGCGGGTCCACGAGCGCCCGCCTGCGCGCCCGCCCGCCCGCCCGCCGAAGCGCGCGTCCGCCCGTGCGCCCGCCTGCGCGCACCCGCCCGCTTTCTTGCCCCCCCTCCCGCACGCCCGCCCGCCCGCCAACGCGGGTGCCCGCTCGCGTGCCCGCCGTTCCGCGCCCCGCTCGCGCGCCCGCTCCCCCTCCGCCACCCGCCTTTCTCACCCGCTTGCCCGAGGCGGCCACGAAACCGAGCCCGCGCGATCAGGCGCGCGGCAGGGAGACTCCATTCCCTATCACCCCCCCCCCTCCTCCACTGAGCCGTGAAATTTTCCTTCCTCCTCCCCTTCCGCATCCCCCCCTTCCATCGCTGTGCCGGCGACTTCCTCCCCTTCTTCCTCCTCCTCCTCCTCCTCCTCCTCCTCCTCCTCCTCCTCCTCTTGCTCCTCCTCCTTCTCCTTCTCCCCGTCATCCTCCCCCCTCCCCCTTTAGGCTGTACACCCTTAAGCATGGCATCAATTCTTTGCCTTTGGCGCAATCGCACAATGCGTAGCATTGCATTGCACTGCGTTCCTTTTCCTTCTTCCGCACCCCTCCTCCCCCTACTCGTTGGCCCTCCACCTCTCCTCCTCGCTCGTTTACGTCCTCCTCGTCCTTCTTCCGATCCTCCCACCTCCCCCATCCTCCCTCCTCCTCTCCTCCTCCTCCTCCTCCTCCTCCTCCTCCTCCTCCTCCTCCTCCTCGTCATCATCCTCGCTTGTCCTCCCACGCCTCCTACCCTCCTCTCATGCCTCCTCCCTTCTCCCTCCTCCCTGCTCATCCTGCTCCTCCTGCCTCGTCTCGCTAGTCCTACCCCATGCCTCCTGCCTCCTCCCTCCCTCCCTCCTCCTTCTCCCTGCTCCCTCCTGCCTTCTGCCTCCTCCCTCCTGCCCCCCCATCCCTCCTCGCTCATCCCTCGTCCTCCCTCGCCCCTCCTACTCGTCACGCAGCAGAGCGGAAACTGAAACTAGTCCACCTTATACCCGCCGCGTGGCAAACGCCTGGGGGGCGGACTGTATGCTACTCCAACCGCCTCACGAAGTGGCAAACACCCGCGGGACGGAAAGCAATGACGTCCCGTTCAATTTGAATTGCCAGGTGGCAGCGCGTGGCAAGCTAATCACAAACTACTCAACGCCACGACTCGCCACGTGGCATCAACTGCGGGGCGGAGCACACACTCTTCCGCCCTGCTCACCACGTGACGACGCTGGGGGGGTGGGGGGGGGCGAAACAAATGAAGCTCCAATCTCCTCGCGACGTGAGAGCAATCGAAGGGGGGGAACAGAGCTACTACTTCACTGTACTCGCCACGTGGCCAACGCCCGCGCGCCTGCCCCGCCCGTCGGCGCGCGCGCGCGCGAGCGCGCGCCCTCCGCCCGCCCACCCGCCCGCGAGAACCCCCACCCGCCCGCCCGCCCGCCCGGCCACGCGCCCGCCCAGGCGGGCGTTTGGGAGGAGGGGGAGGAGGAGGAGGAGGAGGAGGAGGAGGAGGAGGAGGAGGAGGAGGAGGAGGAGGAGGAGGGGAG